GCCCCTGAGAACATTTTAACTCGAGTTGATTGAATGCAGTGGTCGTTCATGATGACAGTTGAGCCCTAAGCAACTAAGACAAATCAGGATGGAAAAAAAGAGTTTCAGGATCTGCCAGCGGGACCCAGCAACATCCATGTGTGAGGAGACCAGAGCCTGTGTTGGACCCTGATTCCATCAGCCATGTTCATCTTCCTGGCTTTTTCCAGGCGAGCTCAGCATCTCACTACACAGAAGAGTGATGATGCTTGTTTCCTTTAGGTGTGTCTTGTTTCAGGTTTGTAGTAACCTTTTGGGAACAAGCTAGGCTCATTTAAATCAGTTCTATACATCTTTTTATACATTTTAGAATTTCACAGAGCATAGAAAGGGAAGTGTTCAGAGAGGATTGTTTTACAAAACCTGTTCAATGCAGAGGAAGTTGAAGGTCTCTTATGGAATGAGTTGTGTCTCCCCCCCAACCCCCGACATACAATTCCTTTTTCTTTTCTTTTTCTTCAGGTTTTTTTTTTTTTGAGATAGTATCTTGCTCTGTTTCCCAGGTTGGAGTACAGTGGCATGATTACAACTCACTGCATCCTCGTCCTTCTGGGCTTAGGCAATCCTTCATCTCATCCTCCCATGTAGCTGGGACCACAGGTGTGCGTCACCAAGCTTGATTGATTTTTAATTTCTTTTTGTAGAGATGAGATCTTGCTATGTTGCCCAGGCTGGTCTTGAACTCCTGGGCTCAAGTGACCTTCCAATATCAGCCTCCCAAAGTGCTGGGATTATAGACATGAGCCACAGTGTCCAACCCCAAATTCTTATGTTGAAGCCCTAACCTCCCAATGTGACTGTATTTGGAGATGGGACCTTTAAAGAGGTAATTAAGGTTAAATGAGGACTTAATGATGGGGTCCTAGTCCAATAGGACTGGTATCTTTATAGAAAGAAAGAGGCCAGGCATGGTGGCTCATGCCTGTAATCCCAGCTCTTTGAGGTGAGAGAATTGCTTGAGCCCAGGAATTCAAGACCAGCCTGGGCAACATAGTGAGACCTTGTCTCTACAAAAAAAAATATTAGCTGGGCATGGTGGTACATGCCTATAGTCCCAGCTGCTCAGGAGGCTAAAGCAGAAGGCTTGCCTACGTCCAAGAGACTGAGGCCGCGGTAAGCCATGATCATGCTGACAGAGTGAGACTCTGAGTCAAAAAAAAAAAAAGGAAGAGAAAGAGACACCACGGGTGTGTGCACATAGAGCAAAGGCCATGTGAGGACACAGTGAAAAGGCAGCTGTTTGCAAGCCAAGAAGGGGTCTCTTGGAGAAACCAGCCCTCTCAGCATCTTGATCTGGGACTTCCATCCTCCAGGATTGTAAGAAAATAGTGTCTGCTGTTTAAACCACCCAGTCTGTGGTATTTTGTTATGGCAGCTTGAGCTACGACAAGGACTCAGACTTTGTCTGGCAGGGTTAGTAGAGCAGCATCTTGCTTTATGAGGTATCCTCAATTTTACTGCATTTTGATAAGTTTTAGAGACGTATTTAAAATAATACAGGAACAAGCTTGAAGTCAAGTAGCTTAAACGACTTGAATGAAAATCAACACCTCCTGGCCCTATCTCTCTTCACATCCCTCCTCTCCCTTCAGGCAACTACTTACCCCTCCCCATTTAAAAAAATTAACAATTTAAATTTTAATTAACAATTGAGCGAAAAGTACAGAATTCCCATATATCCCCCACAGTTTCCTCTATTGTTTACACCTTGCATTAGTGTTATATTTGTTGTAATTGATGAACCAATATTGATACATTATTATTAACTGAAGCCCATAGTTTACATTAGAGCCCTTGGTGTTGTACATGTCTGTGGATTTTCACAAATGTATAGTGACATGTATCCACCATTACAGTATCATACAGAGAAGTTTCACTGCCTTAAAAATCCTTCATGCTCTGCCCGTTCATCCCTCCCTCCCTCCCTCCAACCTCTGGCAACCACTGATCTTTTTACTGTCTCCATAGCTTTGCTTTTTCTAGAATGTCGCATGTATGTAGTTGGAATAATTCAATCTGTAGCTTTTTCAGACTGACTTCTTTCACTTAGACATATGCATTTAAGTTTCCTCCATGTCTTTTTGTGACTTGTTAGCTCATTTGTTTTTGTTGTTGAAGAATATTCCATTGTCAGGATGTGCTAGTTTGTTTATCCAGTCACTTATTGAAGGACATATTGGTTGCTTCAAGTTTTGGCAATTATGAGTGACATGTACATCTTCTAAGAATAAAAACATTCTTTTACATAACCAAACCATAATTACACAAAATTAACAATAACTCAATATATCAGTCAATATCCAGTTGCTATTCAAATTTCTTTTTTTTTTTTGAGTTGGAGTCTCACTCGGTTGCCCAGATTGGAGTGCAGTGGCCGCTCCCAGCCACCGCAGCCTCGACCTGCTGGGCT